GGACGGCGGGGCCGTCGGGTGCAGCTGCGGGGCCGGTAGAGGGGACGGCGGGGCCGTCAGAGGGGACGGCGGGGCCGTCACGTGTAGCGGCGGGGCCGTCTGAAGCAGTGGCGGGGCCGGCAGAGGGGACGGCGGGGCCGTCAAGCGCAGCGAAGGGGCCGATAGGGGGGACGGCGGGGCCGTCGCAGGCGATCGCGGGGCCGCCAAAGGGGACGGCGGGGTCGCGAGGGGCAGAGGGGGGCGGCGCGCGATGCGGCGCGGCCGTCTAGGGGCGGCGCGACGAGGCCGCGGAAGTGGCGCGCCCAAAAAAAAAGGAAAGGGCGGGCGGCTCGACGCGATCGGGCCGCCAAAGGAAAAAAAAAGGGCCAGCGCGACTCGGGCTAGGGCAGAGCGCGCTCCGGGCAGGACGAAATAGTGGGTGGGCCCTAGGAACAGTTCCCACTAGGGAACCTGCTCTGATACCATGTTGAGATAGAGGCGAGGAATGAGTGCACTATGAAATGAAACAAGTACAAGTACCAACCTTAATTGGGTTGTACCCCATAAGGGCTACCCCACTACAGCCTACAGTACATGCATCAGCTAAATATAATCTGACAGCGCACGGGCGTCGACGAGCCGGGGCAGCGGCGCACGGGCGTCGACGGGCCGGCGCGCGGGTCCCCGTCGCCCGTCGCAGCGCCTCCCGAGGGCGACGCGCCGAGCGACGAGGCAGAAGCCCGCCGCGCGCCTCGGGGCGCACAGCGGGCAGAGAACCGCCGCGCGCCTCGGGGCGCACGGCGGGCAGAAAACCGCCGCACGCCTCGGGGCGCACGGCGGGAAGAGAAACTGCCGCACGCCACAGGGCGTGCGGCACAGAGAGAAGCAGTAGGAGTTGCAGCGGAAGCAACGAGGTGGTGGTAACCCACCCACAGGATCGATCCAAGGGGATCGACCTGCTCTGATACCATGAGAAAATTAGAAGAAAGAAAGAGGGCTTGACTAGCAAGAATGGGGATACAAATAGCAAACCCTAACAGGGTTGTACTCGCTATAGATTACCCCACTACAGGCTAGATAAGAACATTCTGACATGCTCACCGGCGAGTACGTCTCGTCATAGTCGGCACCGTACACCTGCGTGAAGCCCTTCACGACCAGCCTCGCCTTCTCGCGCTCGACGGTGTCGTCGATTCGGTACTTGGTCGTCAGCACCCACCGGTTCTTCATGATGTTCACCCCACGTGGGCGTTCGACCAGATCCCAAGTGCCCATGCTGATGAGGCTGCGCCTCATCTCTTCTTCCATGGCGGCCTTCACCGCCTCGCCCTTCCAGCTCGACGTCGCCTCCTTCACCGTCATCGTGGCGATGTCCCAGCGGTGTTCGGGGTCGGGTGGATGTCGGGGTCGAGCTCCGGCAGGTCTTCATCCTCCTCGGCGTCGTCGTACAACAGGTCGTCGTCGACCTCGTCGAACACCGTGGTGAAGGCAGCTGGCGGTAGGCAGGCGTGGAAGCTCAGCCGCTCCGGTGGCCGTCGAGCTCGACCTGTGCGTCGCACCTCAGGCTTCGTGATCGGCACTTCCACCACGTTGCTTTCGGTGGACTCCTCACCCGCTGACTGCTCCCCTTCCTCGTCGACGTCCTCGTCGTCGACCAGCTGCTTCCACCCGTCGTCTGGCTGCTCATCTGCTGCTGACTTTCACAGCTCCCTGTCGACCGCCCCGGCTGCTGCTCCCCTGTCGGCTGCACCGCTGCTGTTGCCTCCTGTTCGACCGGCTCCTCTGTCTGCAACTCCCCTGTTGTCAACGGCTTCCCATACTGGTTGATGAGGTTGGCGCCTTTTTGACCGCCGGCGATGCCATGGGCCGGCGCCACAGGCGACGCCCCAAGGCTCCCCTCATCGTCGGTGGTCGACGCAGGTGCCGACCCAGGCCGATCTGTGACGGGGAACGGAGGAGCAAGGACAGGGGGAGGGGGAAGAACCTCCACAACATCCTCATCAGCAGGCTCGTCGACTTCGGCGAGCAACGGAATTGTCGTCGTCGAGGTGTCCGTCGGCAGGTGCGCCTGCGTCCGCCCCGATGCCGGCCCATACGTCGCCTTCCACACCTCCAGCGACAGCATCTCATAGAAGATCACCTCGACCGACGTGGCCACCTTGTTGTCGGTCAGGTCGAGCACCTCCCAGCCCTTGCTCTCCGGCGACACACCCAGGTCAAGTCCCCAGCGAGCCTTCGGCGCCAGCTTCCCACCACGCTGCTGCTCGGGAACCATGAACTGCACCATGCAGCCCCACACCCGCGCAGTGTAAGATTGGGCTTCTGCCTGGTCAGCAGCTGGTACGGCGTCGTCCCTGGCGGCGTCGTCGACCGCTCCAAGCAGTTGCGCACCCAGACCGCTTGTCGTAGAGCAAGGTGCCACCAGTGGTGCTGCACGCCCATGTGCAGCAGCATCGTCCGCACCGACTCGACAACCGTGCGCATCTCCCGCTGAGCCATGCCGTTTTGCTGCGGAGTATAGGGGCACGCCAGGTCGTGGACAATGCCCTTCCTGTCGACGAAGTCGGTGAATGCCTTCTCGAGGAACTCCCCGCCTCGATCGGAGCGAAGCAACATCACCGACTTCTTTGCCTGTCGTTCCACGAACACCAACCACTTCTGGAACTCCCGCAGCACCTCGCTCTTTGGCGACCAGCATCATCCACACAAACCGAGTGAAGCGATCCTTCAGCAGCAGGAAGTACAAGCTGCCATCCTTGGCAGCCACCCGAAATGGCCCGCACAAGTCAATGTGCACGATAGCCACCTTGGCGTCCGAGCCCTTGGCGGGGAAGGTGTGTCGCGCCAGCTTTCCTCCGACGCACGAGACACACGGCGTGTCTGCTCCGGTCGACGGCGTGATGTCGAGCCCTGTAGCCAGTTCATGCCTGGCCGAGCTCTTGATCGTGTCGACGCCGACGTGCGCGAGCCTCGCATGCAACAAGGCATGGGCCGTCTTCATCGCTGAGACAATCGTCCGTAGAGCCACCACTTCAGTCGACGGCGACCGCGTCAAGAAGGGGCGAAGGTCGGTGCAGAGGACTCGTCTGGTGTAGTGCGCTCTACCGAGCACCTCCCTGGTCGCGGCGACGAGCAGCATCTCGTCGCCATTGCCATGCAGCAGCATTCCGCTCTCCTTCAGCTGGCCAGCAGAGAGCAGGTTCGCCTGTACGCCCGAAACGTAGAGTACGTCGGGGATGAGGACCCGCTTCCCGGCCTCCCCTTGCAGAGCGACGGTTCCACGACCCTTGACAGGTTGCAATGCCCCGTTGAACCCACGCACGTGCTTCACCCCGTCGCTTGGCCCCATGTCGACGAAGACCGACTTTGTCCCCATCAGGTGGTGGGAGCACCCGCTGTTGAGCAACACCGCCATCGGGTTGGCCTGCACAGCTGCCGCCATCGCCTGGAAGTCCTCGCCAGCCTCCGGCGCCAGCGAGACCGTTGGCTCCACCACGCCGACCATCGAGCACGACGCCTCCCCGTCGCCTCGGCTCTTGCCGCTGGAGCTGTCGACGTCCTTCGTCGACGACATCTTCTTCGTCGCTTGCTTCTCCTTGCGCGGCTTCTCATCTTGACGGGGGCGACGACTGGCCGATCGACCACGGCCTCCCTTGTTGTCGTTCTCGTCACTGTCATCGCGTTCGGGGCACTCGAAGGAGAGATGGTCGGGGTCGTCGCACATCCAGCACTCCCACCGTCGACCACTACCTCGTCGACCCTTGTCCCGCGTCGACCGCTTCTCGTTGACGTCCTACTACCTCCGCCCGGCTTCCCACGCTGCTCCTGCTGACGATTCGGCTTCGTCGGTGCAGCGTAACTCGCCTGCAGAAGGAACTCTGTGGGCTGTTATGCCTCCTACATCGCCTCATCCTGGAGAATGTAGCTGGTGATGGAGTCCTCGTCAAGGGACTCACGCGTGCCAGGCCATCATCATCCTCTTCATGAGATTGTAGCTGCGTGGCAAGCCCTTGACGATGTGGGTGACGTAGGACGCCGTCGAGTATTCTGCGCCCGCCATCCGCATCTCAGCCAGGATCCGTCGAGCACGGTTGCAGTAATCCGTCGCCGACTCCTTCTCGCCCATCCGAATGTGAGTCATCTTCTCCTCCAGCTGCCTGATGTACGTGTCGTCCCTGACCTGGTACGTCGACATGATGAAGTGCCATGCCTGGTGACCAGCATCGAGTCGCTCTCGACAGCTCCTGTGCGCCAGCTGCACCAGCGGCGAGCAGCACCTCGAGATGACTATGAAGGTGAGCAAGTGAGCCGCTCGAAACTCCCCGCGCAGCTCGACATCATCCACGGGCGGAATTGGCACTGTGCCGTCGGCGAAGCCCTTCAGCCCGGCGACCTCCACCTGAGGTTCGATTGACTCCCTCCAGAAGATGAGGTCCCGTCGACCTTGCAGCGGTGCGACGGTGATCCAGTCCGGTGAGAACTTGAAGTAGCCATACGCCGGTGCAATCCCGCCTGCCGTCACATGCGTCGTCGCCGAGAGCCCCCCATCACTTCGTGGAGGAGAGCGACGTTGAACATCGACGCCGGCAGGCGAGCTGCCTGCAGCCACCGTCGACCGCTGCACTCATGCCTGGATTCCGTCGACACCACCGTCGACCTTGTGTCAGAATCCCAACCACTAGACCATTGGGATAAAAGGGCTTGTTTCAGTAGCGGGTCAGTGCGCCCATAACCCCCCCAGGCGAACGCGCCTGTAACCCTCTCCAGGATCAATCGGGCATCCACAGTGCAGATCTACTGACACCCCCCCACACTGGGAGGCCCAGGACTAAGCACAGCGGCAACGGCCTATATGTGCATACACCGGGAATCGAACCCAGAAGCAAGAGGAGGAGGAGGAGCATAAGAAGTAGAAGCAGGAGAAGCAGCTAGAGGGGGATCAGGAGGAAGAGGTGGAGTGGGAGGTGGAAGAACAGGAGGAAGAACTGGAGTTGTAGTATGAAGCTGATGGAGCGGCGAAAATGGGTGGGAGATCGGCGGACGTTGAGAACGAGGAAGAGGAGGGGAAGGGTGCGATGTCAGCGGATCTCGAAAAGGAGAAAGAGGAGGTTGGCGTGGAGGCGGCTCACGAGGCGAGTGGGAAGGTCGTGGTCGGCGATGGGAAGGAAGTTGTAGACCTCGAGGCCGTTGGAGAAGGGGATAATGCCGCGGCCACGAAGCAGACGGGCGTGGAAGTGCCTCATGGGGGGGAGCGGTCTAGGAAGAAGAAGGCGGCGAGCGGCCACCCCGGTTCCACCGCAGCTGGTCGGCAGGCGCGGCTGGACGTCGTCGAGCAGCTGCGAGTGCAGAACAGGCGATTGCGGGCCGACAATGCACGACTGGAACGGCGGCTCGGTGAAAAGTCGGGACGGGTCGACAGCTTGGCGTCGACGTTAGCTGGGGTCCTCGACAAGCTCAAGGCTTTGACCGCCCAGGTAGCCGATACCGACCTGAACTCGGCGAAGTGCCTCGAAGACGCCACGTCGACCATGGCGACCACCATCACCGACAACCTCACTCACAACATGGCCAGCGCAGTTGAAGCTAGCAAGTCATTTGCCAAACTTGCGGCCAAGATGTTGCGGGATCATGACGACCCCAACGGAAGAATGGCGGTCGAACGCGCAACCGCGGTGAACGCATTGGCCGATCACATGACGAATGAGGTGGGTGAGGCAAGGAAGGCTTTGGAGGAGACAGTCATTAAATACATCGGCGCCGCGCAGACCAATATTGCAGCCGCCGTCACTCCCCGCCTCATCGTGCAGCAGCCGCCGCCGCCTATCGCCCCAGCGCAGGCCTTGCCAGAAGAGCTAATGAAGACCTTCAAGGAGGATGTGCTGAAGGCGGTGACGGATGCGACGCAGTAGTTGTTTCTCGCCTCCGGATTGAAGATAATGACCGAAGTGGTCAGCACGGTGGCGCCTGCTCGGCGTGGGTCGTCGCCGTCGGCGAAGCGCATCCAAAGGAGGCCCAGAAGCAGGGTCAGAGAGGGGGCGGCGGAGGCGGGGGAGACGGAGAAGACGCCACGAGCGCGAAGCGTAGCAAGGGAGCTGGCGGGTCCCGCGTCGCCGGCGAAGGCAGCAAGGGAGCTAGGGAGACTGGAGCTGGAGACAGTTCGGCAAAGTGCTGGGGGTCCCGCCGACCAGAACGCCGCCGTGCCGAGTGCTCCGCGTTTGGTCGCCGAGAAGCCACGAACTCAGGGGAGCGGAGGGAAAGGGTTGAGCCACAAGAAAATCCCCTCCGCCAAAACAACCCCAGGCGGTGCTGCCAAAATTGGCAACGGGTCGAATGCCAAGATAGCGGAGGTGACATCGGTTCCTAAACAGCCTCTCGCGGGTGCACGCCCTCCGACCAGCGCGTCTGCTAACGTCCCGTCTGCCGACAAGGATGGCCGCGCGGGGAAAGGGGTGGCCGCTGCGAACGCGCTCAAGGACCAGCTCAGGATCCTTGTGAGCCACAGGGCTGCTCAACAGCCTCCCCCCCCTGTCGATGCACGCCTTGCCAAAACAATAGCTCGCTTTGAAGCCCCCATCGTCGCCGTGCCATCTGCCAGTGTGCCACGTGTAGCGCCGGCCGTCGCCGCTCGTACTCCTGCAGACCCAAAGTCCGCTTTGCTGCGCGCCCAGTTGGGCATGCGAGGGTCGACTGCGCCAACTCAGCAGGCAGCTGGCTCTAGCGCGACGCCGACATCGGGGAATGTCGCAGCACCCACTCCGGTGGTGGCTAATGTCGAGAAAACGGCGGAGAAGGGTGTGCGTGCCGCGCTTGCTACAGGCGGCGGCCCTGTTGAGGAGGTTGCCCTCGGCGCGGATATTGCTGTCATACAGGCCCACCTGGATGCGGCCAAACCCCGAACACTGTCCATATCGGGCACAGCACATGTGAGTCCTGCCGGTGGTTCAGCGGAGCGTAAAATGACTGCTGATGCTGTCGGCGAGGGAAATGCAAAGGGGAAGGCGGGCTCGTAGAGGAAAACACGGGAGAAGTCGGAGGTGAAGGCGGCGGATAAAGGGAAGGAGCAGGCGGGGGGGACGGCGGCGGATAAAGGTGGAGGCGGGAAGGTGATGTCGTTGGAAAGAGAAAGCGGGAGAGAATCAGGAGAAGTCGGTCGGCGAGGGTACGTCGACAGGGAGAAAGGGGAAGGAGAAGTCGGTCGGCGAGGCTACGTCGACGAGGAGAAAGGGGAAGGAGAAGGCGGTGGAGAAGAGGAAGGAGAAGGAGGAGGAGGAGGAGGAGGAGGAGGAGGAGGAGGAGGAGGAGGAGGAGGAGGAGGAGGAGGAGGAGGAGGAGGAGGAGGAGGAGGAGGAGGAGGTGGAGGAGGAGGACGACGACGACGAGGAGGAGGAGGTGGAGGTGGAGGAGGAGGAGGAGGAGGAGGAGGAGGAGGAGGAGGAGGAGGAGGAGGAGGAGAAGGAGGAGGAGGAAGAGGGGAAGGACAAGGCGAAAGCAAGGAGAGGTCATGGCATCTGCCACGACAGCTCGGGCGATGGGCAAGGGTGGGTCGGTGAGATTAAGGTGCACGGCATTGATCGGTACATCAGCAAGTTGCGCGAGAAGATGCAGCTCGCGTGTGTGCACTCCATCGCGTACGTCGTCTACGGCGGTTTCGTGAGCAAGGTGCTCATGGATGAGCTCATCGGCTTGGACACTGCCGAGTTGGAGAGGTGGAGGAAGGTGTGGGAGGAGGTCAAGATCTTGCCGACAGGGATGTGGACGGTGATGTGGGCCCGGGGTGTGCTCCTTCCAAAGACACGGTAAGTCGGTTACCCTTCGGCCCCAAGTCGAGAGAAAGATAATGACGTTGTCACTTATGTTCGTTCTGTTTGATGTGCTTGCGTGACGGGCTCAATGATATTCTCGACAAGTATCAAGAGTACAAGAGCTCAGGCGATGCGCTCCACAACGCACTCTGGCCGGCGATGTGGTTCCCCGTCGACGGGGTGCCAGAGGAGAAGTCGTCGGCGATGATGTCGGCCATCATAGGTCGCGTGTCCATGTGCGTTGCGTATGGGAAGACCGCTGCGAGCGCGTCGAAGAAGGAGGGAGACGAGGAGGAGAATACGGCGATGGTGGCATTGGCGTTAGCGGCATCCGCTTGCGCCGTCTGGTGCTTCGTCGAGAACGACGACGCCCAGGTGGTCGATGCCGTGGAAGAAGGGAAGGCGGCGGCACTTATAGCCGGTGCAAGCGAGAAGACCGCCAAAGTATTTGAAACTGTCATGGCGGCGGTGCTGAACGCTGAGATCACCCGGGACCGCCCCCTGGGGGAGGTCGCCTTCAACGTCGCGCCAGTGCTGCAGAGTCTTGCCCTGCAGAGGGTCTATCTAGGGGGGAATGCTGAAGTCGATGCCGAGGTGGTCGCTAGAGCGGCGGTGGAGACCATGGCGTTCTGGGGAATGTGCATCGTCACCGGCCCGAAACTCAAAAAGAGGAGTATCGCGGTGCCGTGTGACACGCAGATGAAGGCCGATCTTGACAACAGGGGGAGGAAGGGTCAGAGGGGGAAGCAGGTGACGAAGGGGAAGAAGGGCAAGGACAGCACGGGGAAGAAGGGGACGAAGGGCAAGGACAGCACGGCAGCGTAGTCGGCGTGCGGCTAGAGTGCTAGGTGGTCTGCTTGCTAGGATTCAGTGCTATTTTGGTCGATGTCGTTTTGTTTTGAATTTCATCTCTCGGATATCTTTGATGCTCGTGTAGTGGTTTTTTGTGTGCGTGATTGTCGACTTTACGTAGGATGTGAAATGAACCATTCAACAACAAGATAAGCCAGAACGCCATGCGTCCATGCACCCCGGCCTCTTGCCAACCATTTTTTTTCTTGCGCGGCGTAATGTTCATATGTCGCTGTCCAAATGCATGTCGAGGCCGACGTCATGAGTGTACGGGTTGTGTGTGCGATGCCGCTGGGTTGCTATGTGAGAAGCACACAATCATGCTACAAGTGGTTGCAATCGACAACTTTTACAATGTCAGAACGGGCGTTGAAGTCGACAACTATAACGGTCTGAAAACTATGAAAGCTGCATCATCATCTATAACATGCAAAATCCCACAGTAACATGTCGCCGAGAGCATTTACGTGGTCTTCTTGCGCTTGGTCGACGTCTTGGTCATCTGCACCACGTTGAGCTTGTAACTAGCCTCTTCGACCGTCTGTGGGAGTTTCGGGGGTTTCTTGGCTCCGACACCCAAACTTGCCTAGTCCGCGGAGCCACTGGCGCTTCGGCGACTACTCGTTCGCAGATGGCGGCGCCTCTGGCATCCTCCTTGCTTTTGAGACGCGGAGTGCCTCGGTGAGACGGGTTATCTCGGCCGTCAGCGTCGCGATGGTGGCGTCGCGCTTCTCAATATCCTCTTTGAGGTCAATCTTCTGGACCGCTGACCGTTCCCTCTCGTACTTCAGGGTCTCGGTGAGCGACATGACCACATGTTCGGCGTCCATGCGGACAGATATCTCCTGCAATGGTCGGCGATTGACGTTGAATGCGAAGGGTTGTTGCGTTCACTAGGCTTAGGGCGACGTTGACTTGATCAATGGCTCACCTCAGGCTGAATGAGGGTCGGGTCCCGGCGCTTTTTTATCGTCTCGGTGTCGACCTTCTCGACCCTCTTCGCCCAGTGCTGGAAGAGGGGAACCCTGCAGAGCTTGGAATATTGGACGTACGGATGTCAAGGGGTGCGGACAAGTTTCACATCGACGTCTTTGGCGACGATGCGGCGCAACATCTGGAGGGTACGCCAGAAATGCACGGCGGCGATGTCGGCCTCAGACCCCTTTTTTGCGAGTTCTTCCGCCTGCGATTTGACAACAGAAGCGAGTGATTGCAGTCGGTCGGTCAGACAATATTACATGTAACCTTGGCGGCGTCGATTAAAATACCTTCTTAAGCAGGTCGTCAACGCTGGGGAAGATGTGCTCGGCGATGAGCTCCAGGAGTTCGTCGAAGGGTGGCACCCTACTGCGACCCAAGAAGTAGTCTTGCTTGGCACCCGAATAGCCGGCCTTCTTCATCACCACGCCGACGGGAATGGCTGTGATGTAAGCTCGAGTCATCTTGTTGATCGCCCAGTGGCCCAGCTCGGCTATCTCGACGCGATACGTACCGTCGATGGCCAGCTCCTGCGCCCTGCCTGCTCGGGCGGCGTGGACGTTCCGCTTGTAGAACACCCTGTTCGTCTTCCACATCTGCCTCGTCCATTGCTGGTGGCTGGCAGCAGGGAGTTCATTTTGCTCCTCGTCGTTGCGGGCGAAGAACATGTGCTTCTTGTACCAGCGCTCGCGCGTGCTGGTGTCCACCGGCGGAATGAGGTCGACGCCGTGAAACTGGCCGATCCGGTCGAGGATAAAGTGCAGCCACAGGCCGGTCTCGCCGACGGCGCACAACTCCGCTTCGAGGTGCCACGCCGCGTAGCTCTGCTGAATATGCGCATCCTTGGATGTCTTCGAGTTCCGCGCGGCGATCACCATGACGACCGGCTGGTTTTCCAGGTTCACCAACGAGGTGCTAGCGAGTCGGTACAAGAAGATGTATGGGAGTGTGATCTCGCGGATGCTGGCCCCGCTCAGGTGACTGTGGTGGGAGAGTAGCGTGTGCACCTTGACGAGAAGAAACCTCCACAGCGTCTGCGAAGGAGTGGTTGCCCGCGGGCTCCACGTCGACGCCGCCCAGGTAGGAAGCACCCTCATCATGATCTGGCGGAACTGTTCGGCGGTGTATGTGTCGCCGATGGTGTCGCGTCGACGGTCTTCGCAATTCACATCGACGAAGCAATAAGAAAATATGACTTTACATCGTCGACCACAAATCAATGGCTACAGAACTCAGCGGTGTATGCCAACTTACCTGACGTCACTCTGATTTTTGGTGCGGACCATGACCCGCACCTCCGACCGTACCACCGAGATTTCCCGCATGATGCCCAACTACTTCTCCTTGTAGAGCGTCGCCTCCACCCTTTGCCACCATATGGCAGGCCTTGATGCGGCCGAGGATCATGTGCACCGTGATCGCTTTCACCGACGCGTTCGACTCGGTGTCGATCTTGTACTTGATGTAGGCACGTAGTCGCGTTTCAGTGACACGCGGGCCGTGCAGCCAGATGTACTTACGCCGGACCACCTTCTCGTTGTCCCAATCCTTGCTCTTATTGCAATGGATCCAGTGCCCGATTTCGTCGACGTGCCTCGTTCTTTCCTCACCCGGAAGCTTGTCGCGTATTCCCTTCAGCATCTTCGCCGCCCACCTCTTGTAGTGGTAAATCCAAGAGGTGTACAGCTTGAGTGTGCTCTTAGCCTCTAGGGTTTTCAGGTGGCGCATTGCTTCCATCATGAGTACAGCGACGCACGCGTAGACCATATCTTCCTCAACAAAGTCGGCCGCCTTCCAATGTTCTCGTGGCACCGCCGTGTTTAGTAGGTCCTGAAGCTCGTCCTCGTTCAACAGATCCTCTATGAATGCACGTTCCCCCTTGAGCTTCTCTTCCAACGTGCGCAGACCTGCGCCACGTCGAGGCCATGGGTTGTCTTCGTCGTCATCGTCGCTGGACGATGACGCGTCGTCACATTCCTCATCTTGGTCGCTCGCTCCGTCCGGCACCGACGACGGTCCGGCCTCGTCAGTGCCGACGATTTGCGTGGTTTCGTAAATTCTACTATGGGCGCGGGCGGAATGTCCTTGGTGAACTCTCCTACCGGGATTTGGGTCGAGATCGTAAAGCAGCAGCAGGGTCGACGAGGGGTTACTGGTCGGTGTACGCTCCACCGGTCGTCCGTCTCCCCCATGGCTCGCAGGGGTAGGACAGTCTGTCATGTCTGCGGAGATAACTGCTACAACGGGAGCTAGACTACGGGCTAGGCACGGGTGCTCGTGTGATCTCTGCGTTCGTTAGTCCTTAGTCGTTTTCCTTGTGCACACACTTCTTGCTAGTTCACGGGGAAAGTTGGCAAGAGTTCCACTAGGAAAAGTTTAGAACAATGGTACAATGAAGTTGGCATAGCAAGACTACATCAGAGCAAGCATTCAGGACGGCCAACTGCCAGCGCAACTTGGTCGACCGCGCTCCACCAAGGCAAGGTCGACGGCATACGTCGCAGGTTGACGGCGTGCCAGCGTTGCTTGCGCAGAACAGCAGTGCACCCGCTTCGCAGGTGCGCACAGATGATTGGCGTGCAGAGTCTCGTCACCTGCACAGCGCACACACCACGTCAACCTCGTGCTGACGACTGCTTCTTATCGGCCACGTCGACCTCGGGATACCACCACCGAGGTGGGGCTCGCCAAATTCGCCTGGGCGACCGTCACACTCCTCCGCAGCACTTCATCACCCAGGTAACCTGGTCAACCAAGCAACCACGTCGACCAGCAGCTAACGTACGTGCCCGTCGACTTCCCAAGTCGACGACCATCTCCATCGGTTGACCTCCTCCAGGTCGACGTCCCTTCTGGTCGACCAGCTCCACGTCGACCAGTACTCCTAGTCGACCTGGTCCTCGTCGACCAGCACAGTCGTCGGCCGACCACCCACGTCAGCCACCCGAAGTTGGCGCCACGAAGTTGACGCCCCGCTACTCGACGCCCAACTGCTCGGCGTCCTGAGTCGAGGTCGACGTCGTCCCCTTCTTCGTTGACCACCAGGTCCAGTCGACCTCCAACAGGTCGACCAACAGGCCTGGTCGACCAACCACTAGGTCGACCAGCAGTTCGTCAGCCAACCGCCGAAGTCGGCTTCCCCAAGTTGACGTCACCAAGTTGACGTCCTCCGCAGGTCGACTTCCAAGTCGACCTCCCCGAAGTTGGCGCCACCCTGAAGTCGGCGCCCGTGCAGTGGTCCCCGTGCAGGTCGACCTCCTCGTCAACCAGCTCGCCCACTGCTGCAGGTCGGCTGCTCCCAACACACCCGACCACGAAGTCGGCTCTGCCCAAGCGAGGACGGGGCCAACACACAACTCCCGTTGACAATGTCGACGTCGGCCATGTGATTTTAGGCGTTTGGTCTACCGTGAACGTGGATCGTGGCGGCCCAGTGCAGGCGGTACTGAGTCCCGTTGGCGGTGTTTATTTGATGAGCTTCGTAAGCGTCAAGCTCGGTGGCAATATCTGCCCGTGCCAGTTGCGCTTTAATGTCGGCGTCTACCGTGTTGGCGGTGGGTTGGTTGGAGTGCGGCTGTGTCGCGCCAGACCTCGTGGTCGGCGGTATCCTACCGCTCGGTCTCCTAAACAATTATCTGCGACGTCTCGTATCAGTCTCTCTGGCTATTGTGGCGACGCCAACTACGACGTCTGGTCGGCGAACCGACTGTCCTGCACGTGTGGAGTGCGAAAGGGAGTAGAAAAAACGAAGTGCCAGAAAGTGGGTGGAACGAACCCAGAATGGAAGGCAGAATGAGCGACCTTCAGTGGGGCCCCGGATGGGTATGGTCGTGGGCGACTCCGCACCTGCCGCGCTCCACGCAACTCCCTGTGCAGGACGCCGCTATGCATGTACCCTCATGCGGTAGCGCCGTGTCCAACGTGCCACCAGCCATGCATGGCTGTTTGCCAAAAGCGCTTCGCCCAGGAAGCGCTTTTCATGGCTGTTACACGCAGGGTCGTGCCTGCGCTACGTGGCGTGGTCCCAATCTTGGTGCATCCCTCCTAGAATACCGTGATGGAGAATTCCCGCGCAGTAGTTCGAGGGCGTTAGGCACTGACGCGTGGCACCCCGAAGATGCTCATGTGGTCCACGCCGACATTCCCTCCGCCTGAAGATCCATTGCACCTAGCCTGAGAAGGGGACGGTCGCGATGTCGCCTTGAGCATCTGGGTAACGCTGGGAAGGAGGCCGCGTGGTACGCACTGACCTGGCCTCGGTTCGGCGCGAATATTTCCCACGCAAAGCACCCCGGCTCAACAGGTGCTGCGTGGACCCGTCGTGGCTGTCGTGGCAGACCTTGGTGGCCCCGCCAAGTTGGGGACGATCTCGGACGTCCCTTTGTTGTCGCGTGGCGTTAATCGCGGCTCGACGTGCCGAGCTGGTTTTTTGCCACGCGCTGCGACGTACTTCTCGGGATTGTCTCATCGCAAACCTAGGTCGTCAGGTCGTCGTCAATCCCGAGGGCTCGCTAGCACTGAGCCCAGACTATTCGCCCAAGCTTTCCACGCGGAGGTCGTCGGGTGTTTGTCAACCACGAGGGGGGACGTTGTCCTTTCCCTACCGTGAAATTGGGCGGCCTTTTTTGTCGGCTGAGCTATAATATGCTGACAGTCGCACCCCATCCTGTCGGTTCTGCCGCACCCCGGAATTGGTCGATGGCAGAAAAATATCGCAATGCTGTCCCATCCCGTCTCTTTCCGAATTGTCTACACATGATGCCTATTTGAGCCACTCCCGGTTGCGGGGCAATTGATTGGTGGATGGGACGCATGGGCGGAGTAAGCTGACATGAAGTGACTGTCAAACATTATATATATTGTGCTTGTTTAGGCTACAGTGGGTTAGCCTATAGGGGGTACACAATTCTAGGGTTAGGTACTTGTTCTAATTTCACTGTAAGTTCAACCATTCCTGTTCATTCATTCTAACATGGTATAGAGCAGGTCCTTCGCTAGGACCGTTTTTTTAGGGCCCACCACTACCTACCTACCTACCTGCGCCCTAGGGTGCCTCGTTTTTCACGGCCCCCTAAGGCCCCGCGACCCGCGACCCGTCCCTTAGCGACCCGCGCGCCGCCCCTTAAGGCCCCGTCGGCCCACGCGCTCGCCCATTACGGCCCCGCGCTCGCCCCTTAGCGACCCCCTCGGCCCCGCGATCACCCCTAATGGCCCCGTCGGCCCCGCGCTCACCTCCCTAGAGGCCCCCGCCGGCCCCGCGCTCGCCCTTAGCGGCCCCTTACGACCCCGCGCTCACCCCTACAGGCCCTGAACGGCCCTGCGCTCGCCTTTAGCGGCCCCTTACGGCCCCGCGCTCGCCCCTAGAGGCCTCGAACGACCCCGCGCTCGCCCCTAGAGGCCTCGAACGGCCCCGCCAGAACGAGCCGCCCGAACCGAGCAGCCCGAACGGAGCCGCCCAGCCCGAACCGAGCCGCCCAAACCGAGCCGCCCAGCCCAAACCGAGCCGCGCCGCCCGAAACTAGCCGCGCCGCCCTTCCCGAGCCGCGCCGCCCTACCTGAACCGAGCCGCGCCGCCCGTACTGGACCGAGCCGCCCTACCTGAGTCGCACTGCCTACTGTTTTTGGGGTGCACCTACTGCTATTACTCCTACTACTGCTATGGCGAGCCATCCTGTGCTAGCTTTCGATGCTGAGGGCCACCTAGTGAAGTTCGAAACCTGGCTAGATGACCTACACCTCTTCCTACAGCTCACTGCCAAGGAGGACATCTCACTATACGATCACGCCCTAGGCCATGCTACTGCTCCTGCTACTACTGCTGACAGCACTACCCGCTCATAGTGGCAGACTCGTGACGCCCGCGCTCGCTTTGCTATTCGCAACTCCCTGCCGATAGATGAGCGCGAGCACTTTGGGCAGCACAGGACTGCACAGGCACTGTACACTGCTGTCGTTGCCCGCTACTCCTCACCGGCCTCTGCCGCACTAGGCCGTCTCTCTCTTCCCTACCTGTTCCCCGACTTAGCCTCTTTCCACACAGTCGCTGACCTCATTACGCACCTCCGCACCAGTGAGGCTCGCTTCCGCGCTTCCATGCCTGATGAGTTCCTTGCCAAGAACCCACCCCCGCTCTGGCTCACTGTCTACCACCTAGTCACCCGCCTCCCTGACACTCTGCGCTAAGTCAGGGACCACTTCCTAGCTCGCTGCCCCACTGAGCTCACCATTGCCCTCCTCGAGAAGGAACTCCTTGCAGCTGAGGCTAGCATAGTCGCTGTAGGTGCCTCTCGTGGCGACCCCCGTACCCCGTTCTTTGAGGGGTGTTCTCCTTCCCCCCTTCTTCCCTCTGTCGCCTCTGCTGCTGCTGACGACCTCCTTGGTGCGGAGAAGGTCGGGACTGCGTCTGCTTCGAGCGGGCGCCATAGCGGCAAGGGCAAAGGGGGCAAGGGCGGTGGCGGTGACAGCGGGGGAGGCGGTGGTAGGGGCGGTGGCGGCGGTGGGGGTGGTGGCGCGACTGGAGGGGCTAGTGGCAGCGGTGGGGGTGGTGGCGGCAGCGGCGGGGGAGGTGGCAGGGGCGGAGGCGGTGGTGGGGGTGGCGGTGGACGCGGCGGCCGCAGGGGTTGGGGTGGTCGAGGAGGTGGCGGTGGCGGTGGTGGTCGTGGAGGCGCTGGCGGTGGCCAGGGCCAGCAGCACACTCCGTCGCCCCACGAGGTCCGTGAGTGGTACTCTCAGCACGGGGGGGGGGGGGGGGGGGGGTTGGCTTTAGCTGCACGTACGTCATTCGCACTGGTGACCGCACTGGTCAGCAGTGTGGGGGACCGCACGCCACACAGCGCTGCTTCGCTCGTCTCAACGACGCTTGGCGTGTTCAGTTCCCTCAGGCCACTGAGCTGCCCCGCTGGGTTGATCTCCTGAAGAAGGGGATTGATATATATGCTCTAGACTTTGATGCTATTCTCACTGCTATGTATGTGATGTCTACTAGTGGAGAGGGTGCTGAGTACCTGTGTGTGCCGCCCGACCCAGGCATTAGGACTAGTGCGTCTGTCGCTCCAGGTACTCGCGTGTCTGCTACCCCAGGTGCTGGTGAGGCAGCTGCTCTAGGTGCTTGTGCATCTGCCCCCCCCGGTACTGAGTTAGACAGCACTGCACACCTTCACACTGGACTCAGGTGCTTCTCGCTGCTTCTTTCGTGACCGCACTGCCCTTGAGCCGCTTGC